TATATATATATATATAGAGTTATCTATTTATTTGTTTATTTATTTCTTTGTTTTATATATATATATATATACATGTCATGTCATGTCGTGTCATGCATATCATTTCTTACTACATGGTGCATGCTTACACCATGCAAGTCTTGCATGTACACGTTTTGGTCCGACATGCAAAAGGATGAGTCACACAAACGTCTACTTAGTCGGTTGCCCGTAGTCAAACATCTGTGCCAAGTCTTAGTACGAAGGCGCCACCGTAAACCCTAAATCCTCTTTGTAAGTACGACTCAACACAATATACGTGATATAGGGGCCTTAAACATGAGAATTTCAGTATATCGTATAGAGCTTTGGGCCGTTTTATGCTATGACTGTTGAGAGGCTACAAGGGACGAAGTCGTAGTACCATGTATTCCGACCCCTACTCTACTAAGGGTATAGACTATCCGGGCCCCACTGCTCCATGGATCGCGCCTCTCGAAGCAGTGTAACTAGCTCCTCCTGGCAGCAGGCGCGGGGACGATTGATTCATGGCTCTCTGCGGAATGAACGATGGAACGAAAAGACGTCGACCATACAGAGGGCATGTCTAGACAACCAGGAGACAAAAGTAGATGACAATGATGTTCAGGTGCGTGCGCACAGTTGTACGCCACGTCTATCTATAGTCTTAGCTGATACGTTCGGCTGTTTGCCTACCTGGTATAAAAACCAACGTCCATGCCCGCTAAGCATCTGTATGATTGCACCTCGGGGCCCGCACCTCGAGACCCCTCAGTTTGCCAAGGCATCAGGCTATACCGCGCCACAGATGCCGGAAAGAGAGAGATCCAAACGGATGAACCTGCAGTTTCTATGGAATCATCTGCTAAAGGCCGGGCAAATTCCTGCTAAATTCTGGACATTGCAGACATCGACTGAGCTGAACACGTCAAAGGAACGAACGCCTTTGGGCATGCTAGACAGCTAGACGCAGCTAGACGAGGGCTGTGGTCCGGATAACAAAGGAGAGGCAAACCAAGGCTACAAGTTGAAACATTGCTCCTACCGCGCTCTCATTGTGGTGTGCAGGCAGTCATGGGCACAGCATTTTGCAGGGATGAAAGGAAGCCTCACTGCCAGCACATCTCTGCAAGCCCACAACCCAGCGAACCCCAGCAAACGGACTGGCAAACGACCAGCCGAGCAACCGAAAGCCCATCTGAAAACAACGAAAAAAGCACGTGGGCACAACTGGGAGATCCATGCGCCGTACAACAAGAAGGTACCCTAAACTGCGGTCCTTGTCTTCTGGGCCCTTGGGAATTGCGACACCTGCGGACAAAGGTTCTTCAGAACAAAGGACTTGGGATGTTTGGAATGTAGGACGTCGGGGGTTCGTGCTTGCACTTGCAGGTTCGTCTCGCCGGAACTTCGCTCGACACCTGCTAAGGAACCGACCAGACTTCCAAAATGTGTATAGCATGAGATAGCGGCAAGCATCAGAAGCCAAGTCCCCCTATATAGCTCCAGGGACCAAGTGCCTCAATTCGGAATCCTCATTCTCGGTCATAGATCTGCAGAAGCAGTATGCTAACCCGAGGCAAACCTAGATTACAGCCAAAAGCATGGGTGCACGGTTGCCTTCGGCACGCAAGCGCCGCTTGATCTCCACGGCCTGCAATGACAGCGACCACCGCCGCTTAAAACCCTACAACCAAGCGAGAACAGCATCCAACCCGTGCTGTGGTTCGACATCTTTCCCCAACCTCCCAGGTACCTACTATATAGGGTACTAGAGCCCCCAAGGCCCGATATAGTAGGTACCTGGAGGGTTACGGAAACATTCAATCAAACCGAGGCCTTCGCAAGGACTCGGATCATCCGAGTTGGAGGTGCTTGGGCAAGCAGCAATCCCAAAGGGTCTAAGTACTAATATGGTAGATACTTTGGGGCCCAAAATACCTACTATATGGGTACTTAGACCCTTTGGGAATTCCGGGCTACAGCACTGCTAGTTATGCCCGAATAGAACCAAAGGAACAGAAAAATCTGCTTAACCAGGAGGACGGTCCTTTACCAGTTGTGAAGAACAGTGCCACAACAGTCTCAATCCCTTTCCGAACTCTTTGGATCCCTGCACGCCCCAAGCCCAAATTCCCAAGACATCGACCTGAAAATCTCCAGCCCCTAAGCTCGAATACCGAAAGCCCTAACTAAACCCCAAGCCCAGCGCCGAAAACCCTAAAGCCTATACACGCTCGCAACTTCAGCCCTGAATCCCAAAACAACTTGGATCAACTTTTCTTGTGCCCCTATAACGCGCACCGGCAGATCGTCCAAGCCGTCTCCTTCTTCTGCTGCCTCCTGCAATCGGACTTCGGGCTTAGCTAGGGCTTACGTAGAATCTTAGAACTTAGGGTTTCAGGCTTCATAAGGTTTTGGGGGTTGCCTTTAAGACTTCAAGGCTTAGGCAGGTCTCACCTGACATCGAAGCACACCCGCTTGAAGTCGATGAGCCCACTGCTTCGGCATGTTGTGAAACATGTCGATGCCCCAGCACAGGATTTGACGGTTTGCAGCTACGGGCTGCAATGCAGTGAAGATGGGATATAGTCTGATATAGTGGTTAGCGTACCGGAATCGGAAATCATATATTTCATCGTGGGCGCTGGAGAAAAGGTTGAATCCGTCTGAGAGGAGACACCAACATTCAGATGTCCAGAAACCTCCAGCTCGCACACACTGTTGCAGCCATACCCTCACTTCCGAGCAGCAAGTACCCTAGATCGACATACCGAAAGCCTATTTCAATCCGAGAGCGTTGAATCATTGCTGCTTTGGGCCATTTCTCAATTCCGGTCCGCCTCTTCAGCCTTGCCATCCTTCTTCTCCTCCCGCACGCATTGCTGCCGAGCTTGGTGGGACTTTGGAAGTCCGGGGCTTTCAGGCGAGCCGGTGCTTCTCGATAGAAGATCAGGAGGCTAAGGGGTGGGAGGGGGGGGGGGGCAACCGCCAGAAAGTCCAGGTTGACCTATACTTCAAGTCCTTAAGCCTTATAATTGATCGAGCTATGAACAAGGATCGTTCACAAATTGGTCCCTTCAAACTGTGAACGCTTTGAACTTTGAGCACTCGCGCAGAAGTCCCCATGGGATCAACAGCTCGGACAACTATACTCGGAGAACAGCCGAGACAACCAGGACAACAAACCTAATGCTGGGGCCTTAAGAAAGAGAATAGGGCTTTGCGCTCCGTCATAGTATAAGAAAAGCGTGGAGAACCAAAAACCGTCTGTCTCGGAACATGCTGAACAGTTTTAACCCTCAGTTCCAAACAAAGACTTGTACGCATCTGTTGCGGAAGAGTCATCCCGGAATAGGTAAGACTACAGTAAACCCTACCCTAAACCTAAACCCTAAACCCTAAGCTAAGGAACACGGCACGGACCTCCATATCGTCCAAGGCACCCAGGAAGGCAGCGAAGTCGTCCTTCCATTATGCATACTGCTCTGGCTGAGGGGGCTCTGATTCTTGTGATTATTCTAGTTCTACTGTTATCAACCATACCCATCTTAGAATATGAAGGTGCTTTCACACGGTCAGGTCTGAACCCTCTGAATCGACTTGTCCGCAGAATCCTAGTCACACCATCCCAGGACATCCTTGTATGCCTTGTCGGCCCTGAAGCTTTTTGCCTACACAGGAGCACCTCAGCGCTTTCCGTGGCACCGCCCTCGGTTCCGCAGGGTGTGCCTTCACCCGACCTTTGCATTCAATGCGTGGTTGTTTGGCTACATCAATGGTCACGAGCCTGACTGGCAGTTTGAATGCAACTGGATTGATCCAGTCTCATAGTTTTGTCTGGGAGAGGCACTCCAGGATAGTCGAGTCGTCTGCCTGTTCAGGCTGTACTCTCGTTGACCGCCACATTTGGCTGTACTCCTATGGGTCCGTGAACACCTCCAACTCGCAAAAACGCTGAGCGCATGCTACCTCATGATAGCAGTGAAACGCCCTGTTTTTCACAGATGTAGCCACATGCACGGGATGACAAACAGTTCTCTTCAACCACAACTACGTGCTTGGTGTGTTGTGCCTGTGGTGAAATGGAGACCTGCCTTCCCGTCGGAAGATCTGTCTGCGTCATCTGGTTTCTGCTCCTGCAGCCACCCGACAAATGGAGAACTAGTTCGTGGGGGTACCACTCTATATGGTCGACTCAAGCACAGGCGCATGCATGTGTGATCACAATTCATGAGCCAGGTTACTGCCATTCTGCTACGGGAAGCAGGTCCTCAATCTGCTCGATGCCCTGCAAAAACGCAGTCATGTCCTGCGAGTGGTAGTTTTTGCTCGCATTCCACTTTTTGAATTACGATGCAGAGTCTCTGAGCCCCGCGGGGCTGCTGCGATGTCGACGTTGATACAGCCCGCAGTATGCCCAGTCAAGCTCGGGCCAAACTCAAGTACGACGACGCAGTGTAGAATGACGCACGAGCGCGGCGTGACGAGCCGGGTCAGCAGACGCTTTCACAAGCTCCCTGGTAGGCTAAAGGCTACTGTAGGGGACCCAGCATAGAACTCAATTCAGTAAGGATCCTTTCCTTACGGACCTCTGCACTATAGCCTCTTGATTTGAAGAAACCCCTCATCTAAACTCGATCATAAACCTTATAAACCCTAAACCGAAAATTCCGTGACATCGGTTTGAAGAAACCTGGCCGCCGCCTCATCCTCGGTGGGATCAGGGGCTGCGCTGGCTTCCTTGGGCTCGTCCTTGCAGCATCCCGCCCCGCCGATCTGTTATCATAGCTCCCAAAGGGTCTAAGTACTAATATGGTAGATACTTTGGGGCCCAAAATACCTACTATATGGGTACTTAGACCCTTTGGGGCTGGCACTTGTGGGGTGAAGGTTTCAGGGCCATTTTAGGGCTCCTGGCGCTATGGGGTTGCTTTTGATCACTGGCTGATCAGGTAGGCTTCCCTTACCCGTTGTATCACCGGCCGGGCAGCCAGAGATCTGGCTGCATGGAGTGGGAGTAGGAAGTATGCAGGTGGGAACCGGCAGGAAAGGCTACGACAGCTACGAGGGAAGGTAGCATTTTAAGCAACACAAATCCCACACGTTCCCACAACCCAGAAGTGTTTGGTCGCAGCAGGATAGATATCAATCTTGCTGATCACCGTTCGTCCTTGCATGTACTCCCGCAGCTAACCTTCACTGTGCGCTTACAGGCTTGCTGTGCAGCTGGCCCAATACCATGCTACGAGGCTGAGGGCGGCCAACTGGACACGGTGCTATGTAGCACTACAGTATTATAGCTTGGCTTTTTGGGCATACAGTGAGCACTCTTCCGGCGAATGCAACTCAGGCACTACCAACCACGAACGGCATGCCCCCTCCCCCCATTGTGTGGCGTTCCGAAAAGCTCTAATGAGCCAAACATCTAATTTCAAAGTCTCAACCTCAGGATTAGACACACCCGTCCTTCCCCTCCTCCTCCTGCTCCTCCTCCTCCATAGGTTCTGGAGGCTCGGCATCTGCGTCTGCCGGCGCCTGTTGGGTCTTAGGAGGTTTTTCTAAAACTGACATCCCGATGTCGAATCCTAGTCGGTTCTAGCAGCCTCACAACACGAACTGCGACACGCAACCCAGAAAAGACCACCTTTGCGAGCAATCACAGGGCTTCGCTCCCTCCAATGAAAGTTGCCCGTCGCACATTGAAAACATTCCTTCCCCTGGTTGGAAATCCTAAAGCCCCACCCCTTATAAGTCCTTACGGCATGATCGCAAACTTTCATAAGCCCTGACTTGACCAAGGACGCCTTCAACCGTCAACTTGGAGTTTCGTTCGGAGTGTGCGGCTCTAGGGTTTTGTAGAGGCTACACGGACCTTGGAGGACTTAGGCTCGCATGGTTGTGCTCCAGAAGAGCTGCAGCGTCTCCTCAGGCTAAGCCTGTAACGTTTCCACAGGCTAAGCAGGGAAACCACAAGAGGAATTAGCGGTACTAGTTACTAGCGTAGCACACCGGCCTCGATGCCCGCGTCGACTTCCATGCTGGTGTCTTCCTGCACAGCAGACAACAGCAACCGGAGCAGAGAAGGACCACAACTACGAAAACACAGCACAAACTCTTCGGTGCTATCGCCAGCGGCCATCGCCTTCTCTGCAGGGGCCGTCTCGTGGACTGGCTCCTTGCTCTTTGCCTGCCGGAGCTCTCCGAGAATGGACATGAGCAGGTATCTGGGGATCTGGCCATGGAGCCATACATTGAAACGAGCTACTGTCCGATCCTCTTCTTACAGGCTTCTGCCGTGCAGTAGCCGAAGCTGTTGCCGCGGTACTTGCAGCAGCTGTATTGTCGCAGAACTAGGACTATCGATACGTCTTGCTGCAGCGGCAGCCGAAGAAGGATTAGAAGTAGCTGCTGTTTGGTGGTGGTGGTGGTGGTGGCGGTGGCGGTGGCGGTGGCGGTGGTGGTGGTGGTGGGGTGGTGGTGGTGGTGGTGGTGGCGGTGGTGGCAGTGGCGGTGCTGGTGCTGGTTGTGGCGGCGGTGGTGGTGGTCATGCTGGTGGTGGTGACGGTGGCGGCGGCGGCGCCGGTGGTGGTGGCGGTGCTGGTGCTGTTGCTGTCGTGGCAGTAGCAGGAGCAGCAGTGTTTCAGCCGTGCTGGAAATCGTCTTCGCAGCAGGAGAAGCCACAGAGCGGCAGAGCGGTACTAGTAAGACTAAGACGGCAGCCGCAGTTGCCGTGTGGTGGTTTGGCTAGCTGTGGTAGCGATACAATCAGAGGTGGCCACATGTGGCCACAATAGTGGCTGTCCTAGTTGCTGCGCTCTTCCTGAAGAATGAGGAAGAGACGACGACTACGACCAGCGACACCATTCCAAGACCGCCACACGCTTTTGCGAAAATTCTGCCAACTCTTTTTTGCCACCACTGCTCCCATTGCTGCTGCTATTCAAGCTGCTATTCACATGGCTGTTGACGTTGCCAGGTCACGACCACTACACCTGTCCGGGCGGCGACGACGATGACGACGGCTACCGTCACCACCGCAAAGACACGACTGCTACCGCCACTGACCGTGACAAAGTAGAAATGCGATTGGTCTTCTCACTTCCGGCCCTGTTGTTGCTGTAGCAGTGTAGACATGTACTTGCGTGCCACTACTGTCATTTCCTGTGCATGCCCAGTCCGTCCATCCTTTGCGGTCTTGAACCAGTCCACATTTTAAGCTCCAGTGTCACAGTCCGGTGCCAGTGTCCTGTCCTTTTTGGGGGGAGAATGGGGGAGACATTGTCGGCTCCATTAAAACGACAGAAAACCGAGCAACAGCCTCGTCGATCTGCTCGATTCCTTCCAGGAAGTTGGCCATTTCGTCCTCTAGGACTCCAGGTGCTGCCCGGCCCTTTAAGGCCAGAAGAACCTTTAGTGAGAGACCTAGGACAAGGTATTGTGCTTTGCACATGGAACCAGCTCAATGCATAGCTTGAGTTCAGGGTTCAAGAGTGAAGCTTTACAGTGATAATTCATCCAAATTTTAAGCATCCCGCACAGCTGCAACAATATGCAGCTCTACGCATCGCAGTGGCACATAAACATGGGATGATGAGACATTTGCACCCTGCACCGGCGCAGAGGCTGGAAAACCGCAAAACAGGAACAGCGGCATCAGAGAGAGGCGTGGCTAGCGGCAAGATGGTCTTAAAGCCAGCTCGTGCAAAGAAGCGTGTCAGGAATGTTGGAAACAACTGTTGGCCAACTGGTTCCACGGACCGAGAAGCCATGGCAAGTGATGGCAAGTGGCTCCTCTTCGTCATCCTTTTCCGCCTTGTCCTCTTTTGCGTCTTCTTTCATCGGGGCTTCCTTTGCCTTCAAGTCGGTCTCTTCAGCTTAGTTTCTACAGGCTGGGTGCCGCAATGCCTCTGCTCATCCCACTAAGTAGTAGGTGAAAGCCCGCAGAGAGTCTCGCCCAAAAATGCCACAAGGAAGACATGGTGTTTGCAACCTCATGCCGCACTCATGGAGTGCTGGTGGAACCTCATCCTTCTCCTGCGCAGCCTCCTCCTTCTCTTCCTCCTGCTTGGAGGTTCATGGGTAGTTATAAGTGGGGCTATAAGTCCCCTAATATGGGTTATAAGTCTAGTTACCTTACTTATAACCCCATTTATAAACACCCATGAACCTCCAAGTGGAGGGCGGATTCAGGATGGAAAGGCTTGCCAGACTGGGACCACTGCCTCTTCGAGGTATCGAACATTTCAACATGTGTAAGACCTTGCCTCAGGATTTCAATGCATATACTACTAAACAGGTAGACTTATAGCTCAACTATCCACAACTGTCTTCGCAACGTATCATTTGTTTGCAACTTTCATGAAACGGTCCAGCCTCAGAACAGGCCGCTCGACGTGATTCCATGTATTGGGCACCTAACTAACTGTACTATGAGGGTTGCTGTATGTGATAAGGCTACATATAAGGGCTGCTGTGACTGGCCCCTTCAATTTCGGATTTCGTCGCTCTAGTCGGAGCTGCATCTCAGAGATTCTAAAGCTGCATGTGGCCTTCTCCAGCGGAGCCTCTTCCAATTCAACTTCCTCCTCCTCTTCCTTCGGCTCAACTTCGGGGGCGTCCTCGTACACCCCAAACTGCCCCATGTAGTGTTTCGGCAGCTGCTTCCACGGTTGCTGACGACTGCAGTGTAGTGCTCTCTGGCTACAGCTCGCGGAGCCCTACTTGTACAACGTCTCGATGCAGTGATTTCTCTGTTGCGGTGTTCTGTTCTGCTGGACAAATGCAAGGAAACGCTCACAGCTTTGGGGTCTGGAAAGTTTGCAAAAAAACACAGTTCCGTCTAAAGTGCTTGAACCTAAACTACCACAAAAAATGAAAAAGACTGGAGAACTCCACACGCTCTCATGCCTGCAAGCCAAATCCGCAAGAAGCCTGGTATCTCCAAGCCGAGAAACGTAGAATGCCCCCCGAGGGCTGATTCAGCACAACCATGCCCCATCCTTGACTCTCTATGAATCTGAACATGCCCAATCAGCTCCTTGAAAGCCTGGAGCAACTTCCACAGTCCGTTCCGTCCCACACTGCAGGAGTCCCTTTTGAACCCCAACATTCTCAATGCCCCTCACCCCAGAGTGCCCTAAACCCTAAACCCTTTTCAGCACGGAGTGAGGTGCCGGCCAGCGCCCATGCAACCCTCAACCCTAAACGCCTAAACACCAAGAAGCTCGTAAGAGGCTCCAGCCTTCCATCAGTCTGTTAGCCCAGAAGCCGTAAGACCCAAACCACCGAAACCCCCCCAGCCCTGAACTGCCCCAAACCCAAAGCCACAAAAAACAATACATCCCTAAACCCTAAACTTAAACCCTAAACCCTTTGAGATGCGGTTCTTCGGAGGTCTGCTCGGCTTTCGCTTCGGAGCCGACTGTCTCCTCCTCCGACGTAAGCAGGCGGTCTTCTTCTCTGCTTCAGGAACCCAGAGACGCCAATATCCCTTAATTAAGGAATATACCTTAAATTATAGTAGGGATCCCTAATATGATTTAAGGTATATTCCTTAATTAAGGGATATTGGAGTCTCTGGGAAGTTACGGGCTCAGGGACGTCGGCCGGTAGTCTGCCCTTGGCCTTCCCAAAAGGTCTAAGTACTAATATGGTAGATACTTTGGGGCCCAAAATACCTACTATATGGGTACTTAGACCCTTTGGGCTTGTATATGGTTCTTCAGGAACAGACATCTCTCTGAGACAACAGCATAAATCCAACGCTTCCGGGACCAGACGTCAAATCTGTGAGATTGTGATGATATACGTCATGTTGTCGGTTGCCATGTTGCTTTGTGCACGCATGTTGCGTTATCTCAGTCTGTAATGTCTGTCCTGTCATGAGATGTCCAGTGCGGTAATCTCTTCTCAGAAAGAAGCCTTACGCCCAAATCCTTTTGCCTTGCGCTGTTTGCGAAGGAAGTCCTGAACCCGAAACTTTTCTTGTTCCGTGAGCCGGTCGCAGGGCGCAAGTCACTCTCTGCATGTCCTGGCTTCCACGAGAAGCCATCGAAATACCAATACATCATAAAGTCTATAAGTGAATTCCTACACATCATCCGCACATACAGCATGATTCTTATGATATGTGTACGTATATACAACTGCATATGTTTATAATATGAATATATATATATATATATATGTTTATGTTTGCAAAGTGTGGGGGAATGGCATCCATGCCTTCGCATTTTGTTTGAGAATGCCCGGCTCCCAGGTTCCGATGCTTACCAAAGGGAAGCTCAGGTGGGTCGGGTGGTGGGGACTTCGCATCGATAATATCCATCTCTATATATGAGTATACCTATACATATGTATATATATATATATATTTATGTATGTGTATATATATATATGTGGCCGAGACCT